CGTGTGCCCAGCCAGACCAAAGCAGAGGTTATTTAGCAGGCCAGTGGGGAGATTTTAATCATCCCAAACATCCTGGGCGAGTCTATTCTTAATAATAATTTATAGCACTTAGCACTTTTACACATCTGAAGCATTTCGCAGGCATTAACCGTGGGCTGGGACTGCTTCGGAGCAGGGACTGGCACTGCGGTCTCTCCCAGACCTAGCAGAGAGGTAGGGGTTCACGGAGGAGCCTTTCCACAGCCTGCCCTCATTCGCTGCCCTGTCTGCCCATGTACTCCCAGCCCCTTGTCCCACCTCACAGGTTTCCTCTCAAAACTAGAGTATGTCCCTTATGCAGATTTGCTTTAAAACCGCAGTCATCAAGCCGCTGGCCTGGGGAGCGTGGCTACTTCACCAGCAGATACAGTCACCACTGTCACGCAGGGCAGCTAGGTAGGGAATCCGTCCCATTTCACAAATGAGGCAGCTGGCACGGAAAGGAAAGCTAACTGATAGAGCTGGGAACGCATTTCCAGGATCCAACCTTCTCTTCCTGGCTTTACAGTGATATTTCCAGAGCATGGCTTAGACTTCAGCATGTTCAGAGAGGTTAGGAAGCTAAAAGACACCCCAACCCTCTGTTCTATCAGAAATGCTCTTTGGTTTGGATTTGGCTTACGCAAGATGGGTTGCCCGCACAGGAAACACAGCCGGGTCTGCACCACCCCGGGGTCCAGCCTCTGCTGGGTTTATCATCATTGTATCTTTTGCAATCATCTACATGTGCTGCAGGACTTTAGTCTGGGGCTGGGATCCACAGTGGCACACAGCAAGCTGATCCTCCATGCAGAGGCTGCAGCAGAAGATGGACTTTGCAGGACGCTGCAAAGCACTGTGTGATACACCTAGCTGAAATATGAAGTGAAAAATGCATGTCCACAAGCCAGATGCTGCTGCCGCCTCTGCAGTCCTTCCCCCTTCCAGCACCCCGCTGTTGGGGACTGTGTCAATGCTCCCCTTTGCACCGCTGCTGCTGCAGGGGTGGGAGCAGACACCCAGCTGTGGTGGCAGCAGGGAAGATGCGGGAGGGAGAGCTGGGGAAACGTGCTGGAGGACATGGTAGCCGTCACCTCCAAGAAGTTCGGAAGGTTTGAAAAAAAGCCAAACAAACAACTGGTTGGCATACGGAACTGAAACCGAACCAAGGGGAATTCACTGAGCGCACTAAGTGGTGTCCACCAGCTATTTAAAGCTTCTTATGCATCTGATGTGCAGCTGGGCATAAAGAAAGGGTGTGCCTGCAGCTTGCACAGACGTACCCATGACAGCTTTGAAATAGGGCTTTTGAACACTGCTAGGTACAGCTGCAGCAGCCAAGAGGTCAGCATGGGCTAGAAACCACCCAAGAAACCAGGGAATAGCTGGGGCATTTGTGGAGGGAGCCGGCATGACCAGTGCCCCTATCAGCCCTAGCTAAACAGCAAGTGGGACCGGAGCCAGAGAGTTTAAGATTATTTCAGGAGCCAGTCAAGACTGGACAGGAACTGCAGTTATGGTCTCATAGACAGACACACAGCTATTACACAGCCTCCAGCCAGGTTACCCACTTCTCAGCAAGAATTCAAACTAGCTAAGAGATGTGTCTGTGTGGAAATGACACCTATAACATTTCTTGTTGGTCCTGTATACAGGGCAAGTCTTCCTATACCATGCCTTGGTTCCCAGGGAGGTCTGAAGCAAGAGCTGTGAATCCTTGCAGGCACTAGAGGAACCCAGATCCTCCCACAAGTGGGGCTCCTGGCTGGTGGCAACCATACACTGCATTGGGTTGTCCTGTGCTCCCTCCTTCCACCCTCCACGTCCACACGTATCCTGCCTAAATGCAGCTATGGTCTCATTTCACCAGTGCTGGCCCCCCATGATTTTTGTTTTCAGAGCGTGGACTACATTTTAATAGAGAGCAAAGCATCTCAAACACCTTCTTATTTCCTAGCACAACCCTTGCAACATCTGTACAGCACTCTCCCGGCAATGGCTGTGATTGTTTCCATGGAAAAGTCCCATTAAAGAAGTGTTTTAGTACTGGACTTTGGCTTTGTTTTTTAAACTCTATTTGATGGGAGGAACCAGCGCTGGAAATTTCTGAGGTGCTCTGGCAGGCATTTCCAAGACCCCTGCTTAGCTCTGAACTGCTATTTGAGGTCTTTTGCACAGCGTTTTAACCCCTCTAGATGCTCCTCCCCGGGAACCTGTCTCTAGCACCCAACTGCTCACCACAGAGACTGTTTTCTAACTGCTTAGCCTGAATTTGGTTTTATGGTCCTAACACCAGGCTTTACTATTTCAAGATAATTAGAGCAAATCCCTTCCTTCGCTTATATTGTTCCCTTGAAGGTATCTGTAGGCAGAATGCTTGTCCTTGCTCAGCCATCCCTTTTCTACTCCATGTGCTTCCCTCTGCGGTCTCCCCCATACCTCCTTGGATTGCTTTCATCAACTGTGCAGACCATTGCATAGTTGGGTCGTCCTTCTGCTCCTCTGATCTCCCTTTGGCACCAGGAGCATCTCAGGACTCCAGAGAAACCCCATCCTGCTGAGGAGTGGGCAAGGGGCCACAGCCACCCTCCAGACCCACTGCCCCAGCTAGGGCTTGGAGAGTATTTCGGGGATCCTGGCTGATCCCCGCATAGATGCTGGGACTAATCTTGATGATAGCAAAGGGTGAAGGGACCAGGAGAGGAGGGAAAGCTGGCAAGTGTCCAGCTGCGATATTCAGGGGGGCCTGTCCACCCTGCTTTCAATCTGTTGCACTGGTGCCAGCTAATGAAATTTAACGTATTATTTGCCAGGTTCTACTTTCTCTGCCTCAAAAATGGTCTTTGTGACTGCTGTGGGTTGTTTTCAATAGCTCTTGGCTTATGAGATCTTTTTCTTATTAAAAAAATTAAAATCGTTAAAATTTTGATTAAATTAAACCAAATGGACTTTGTTCTCCACTGGAAGCTGTTTATGTAACATCTGCTTTAAATAACTTTAAAACTCAGTCCATTCAACTGTGCAAAATGGTGAAATTACAATATTTGTTGTGCTTTTTAATTTTTTTTTTTTTTAAAATCTGACCATACCCACCTTTACCTGATTTAGTCCCCAGGAACAGGTTTAGCCCTGTGTGCCCAATGCAGCCCTGGCACAGCTGGTTGGATTGACATCTGCCTGGTTTGCAGAGCTAGCAAAGACTGGGGAACATCATTTCAAGCAACTTTTACAAATTACTGTTTTCTCGGATAAAAACCCATTAGTAAGTAGAGTTTGCAGTGTTGTTGGCATTAAATGCCCAGTGTTCTACCTCAGATTAGATATCCAAGCTCACGTGTATTCCTAGGACAGCCTGAGCAGGGCTTAAGAGTTTCCCCACACCAGGAACACGTGCCTAGGTGTTTCTTCCAGGGTATTTAAAAGCTGCGTACGTGTATCAGGGTACACAGGAGGGCTGCACAGACAAGCCCTTGATTGCCATGCAGGCAGGCAATGACGGGTTAAGAGTCCACCTCTATTCTGTGCAGGAGCTGGAAGGGTTCCCATAGGTGACCCCACTGCTTTGGCCCCCCACCCCCCCACCCCAGTTCCCAGCCGAGATCCCCCCAGCTGCCTGTGTCCGGCTTTCTCATAACCTCCCCTGCCGCCTCCTCCTCTTTATATATTCATGAAGTGGTAGGGACGGGGATAAATAAAAGCTGAGCAAGCCAGAGCGACAGCACAGGAAGAGGAACTGTCTGCACCGGGTGCCTGGCTCTGCACTGCCGGGACGGATCCTGCCTCTGTCTCTTTGCTGGGACAGTGCCGGCTTGCAAAAGAGATAACTGTTCCCTGCTCTCTCGGGCAGCAGCTGGATGAGCCCTGGATGCGAGGAGGAGGAAAGTTAACAGTAAGTGAGTCAGTCTCACCAGGGATAAGATAACGCCTTCTAGGATGTTTCATTCTCCAAGTTCAGAGCCGGGCCCGATGTAGGGCTGCACCTACTTCCTTCCCCCCATCCCCGGCCCCAGCAGATTGCTCCCCCAGCACATCTTCATCTCCTGGGACCCACTGATGGGGCAAAGGCTGAGGGGCTGGAGGCACCACGGGCGGAGGAGAAGCTGGAAGCAGAAGGCACATGTGCAAGCAGGGACTTACTACGTAATTCACAGGGGACCATTTAAAAATGTTGAGCCTTTCTGCAGCCTGCTTTAGTCTGGAGGGATTGGTGTGGGAGGTCAGTGAAGCCTGGTGTTGAAGGATTATATTGCAGCTATGCTTTTTTTGGGAAGGGCAGAGTTCTCCAAGTTCACATGTGCGCATCTCCTATGATCTCTTACTACTCTCACGGTCTCCCTCCTGTCCTCTTTCTTCTGGGATTGCAAGGAAGGGACACGCCTCTGTCACTGCAGCAGAAGCCAGGGGTTTTCTGCCCTTAAGTTAACCCCTATGATAGCTGGAACGTACTATAGGAGTGCAACAAGGTCTTCTCTTGACTGTAGGGAATCCCTCTTGACTGTAGAGATCTTATTAGCTTAAGCAAAAAACCAAAAGCACCTTGAGTGCTATGGCCTCCTGCTTCCCTGCTTGGGATGCTAGCAGCACAGCTGCCACCTTGTCATCAGCACCCCTTATTCTGAGGGGGCTCCATCCCAGCTTGCAAGCTAGAGTCCTCACCTCAGCCCTCCCCTGTTCCAGGGCAGGACCTTTGCCACACTGCAGGTCTGCATGATGTGCTGCCAGCCTGATCTGGAGAGCAACATCTCCCCTCCACCCTGCCCAAAGGCTTGCTGTGTGCAGACAGCATCGTGGGGAACGTGTGAATATATAGTCCTAAATACAGGGGACACAGGTACCAATGTTCCCCCAGTACTGAACATCCAGTTAACCCACTTCTGCAGAATGGGCCAGTAGTTTAATGTCCCAGTGGGTCATTGCTAAGATGTCACCTTCTGACCTAAGCTAGTGCTCCAATTTTCTTTTATTCCCCCTCAGGTGCAGCACTAAGATGAAGCCTCCATCTGGGCAAGGCATAAGGCTGGCATACCTTCTCCTGAATTTGGCTTCCCTCTGCCATCCCACCCCACTCTGGAAGGACCGGGACTCCTTAATGCAGCAGGAGAAAGCCCATCAGACAGGTGGCAATTTGGTGCTAAGTAGACAGGAACAGCAGCTCAGTACAAACCTTGTAAACCTCAAGAAGAAGGAGGTTGCAACAGCCATAGCTACAGGACAGTTTCCTCCAAGCATGCACTTCTTTCGGGCCAAAGGCCTCATTGATCAAAGCATGGTGTTCAGCATCTTGAAGCGCATGCCCAAAGGTAGGCTTGACCTAAGGGTTGCTCATTTTATTTATCCTCCTCTCACCTTTTGCTTTCTATGGCAGAGCTGGGACAAAGCCTGCGATGTGGCAGACGAGCTTCTGAGAGCTCTAAGTCGTGCTCGCTGGGTTCCAGGAAATGAGCCTGGGGATGGGGCAGAGGGAGAGAGGAAGAGGGGGATGGATTGGATGAATACACATTTCCAGCAATTGTAACTTTTGGTATAACTTACAATACAGATCCTTCAGCCTTTCAAGTGTGGAGAAAGGGCAGAGGAAGCAAAGACAAGACGACATCACAGACATCCATATTTGCTCAGCATGTTCCAGCCAGGGCCTTTCCTTTTTCCGCATACACATACCACAAGCATGCCACCAACCTTGTCTTTGCCCACATCTTAGCCAAAAATGCTGTATCTCCCAATAAGTCTTTCTGCAGGTGGTTCTATAGCAGATCTGAAAGGCTACTAGAAAGTCTGGGGACACTAGAGGAGGAAGGTGCTACCTCCAACACTGGAAGTTCATTGTTGAACACAAGTCAAGGCCTGTGTTGATGTGACCTATAGAATATGATATAAAAACTACTGTATTCTCTCACAATCTTTCTTAATCAGGTTCTGGTCAGTGCGTTTATAGATCTCTACTTATAAGGACAGGCGTTTCTCCTTTTGTCTTTAGAGATGATGTTTCTCCCCTGTTGCACAGCAAGCTACGTGCTAATGGGCTGCCATGCCCTACACCAAGGGAACTTCTGTTCTCTGCAGCACAGACATAGTTTTAAAGGCATTTGGACCATTTTACATTAGATAGCGGTATGAGATTGTCCGATACCTTCACCACACCATCCTATGCATCCTCTGACCAGCAGCTGGGATACAGCAATGACTGGAAGCTCAGTAGTTCAGATTGCGATAGAAAGGGGGAGAGGATATTTTTAGCAAAGGTGAAATGCAAACCACCTAGACTAGGTAGGAGGAAGCCTAATGTCTCCATGTCCCCAAGCTGTTGACAGTTCACCAGAGAGGCAAGGGGTTGAGGTGATCACAGAAAGAAGGCCTTGAGTCCTGACTGACTTGTTTCTCCCTCCACACCTCTTGTTCAGTAAGCGAGTATCTGAACAAGGTGCCTTCTTTAGTTAGGGACACTTGCAACAAACGTTATCAATACTCCTGTAACTCTGAACAATATGTCCACCCTTCCAGGTGGTCCCTTTTTAGATTCAGAGTCTTGTGGCCTTGCCCACATGGCTGCCTGGAAACAGGTTGGTGACCTGTGTTGGAAGATTTGGGAACCAGCTTCTCCACAAGAGCATTTTTCACTTGCAAGGCTGTGACACTGGCAGATGGATAAGAGCCATTTTTCTCACTTCCCAGCTTCTCCCTCCCAGCCTCTGGTGTGGGATGAGGATCCCTGGCTTACAGCATCCCAATCTGTTACCATAAATGATTGGTATGTCAGAATTGTCATTATCCCTTCATGGCTGAACCGAACAGTAAGGAATTTAAAAGTACTCCCCCTCTTCACCTCCAATGGGGTAACTTTGATACTAGGGAGGAATCAAAACAAAAAAATTAACACTTTACAATCCAGATGTTAAAATGCATTCTCAGGATCTTTGCAAGAATTCTAAGCTTTTAGGGCCAAGATCACATCCTTGTAGCGGCTTGAGTAGGACCTAGTCTTAGATGCCTCAGTCTCAATCAGAGCCCCTGGGATTTACTGTTGTTTTAAGCACAATTGCAATTTGCATTGCTGCTCACATGGGAAAGAGGGTGGCATTGCCAGTGAGAGGCGGGTCAGACCTAGACAGCTGTGGCATGCCCATTCTGTCACACTAGATCTATTGAGAGCAGCAACCACAGTTGCTCAGCATCTTAACAGTCAGACCCTCTGTAGTGGGAGATTACAGACATTATAGTCTATATTAGATTAGTCCACTATAAATTATAGTCTTGAAGTTTGTCTAATGCCACATACATAAGAGTCTTTTGTCTTGTTCTTGCTACTGATGTTCTCCCTTTACCCCTAAGGGCATCAAAGCTATTTTGACTATAAGGTCTCCCCTACACTAATAGAATACATATCTAAGATTTTAGCTCTCACAGTATCTTCCCTTTACAAAAGTGAAGTTTAGTTCAAGCACCAACAACATAAGAAGTCTCTGCAAAAGGAGAGATTTTAGCAAAATGAAAGGATGGGCTGAGGAAGGCAAGCATGCAGAGGATGCTTCCTATGCCAGGAAGGCTGGCAGTTGCCAACACACTGCACAATAACAGAGCATCCCATAGGGCCTTTGTACTGGCCAGCAACAGATGTACAACGCAAGTGAGCATGCTTTTGATAAAGGATAGAAGTAGGTGGTACTTCTGCATCTGAGTGCAATTCCCCAGTGTGTCATGGTCTGGGATTTTGGTGTACGCTAGAGTTTCAAAGAGATGAAAGAAGAGACACAGGCTAGATGCAAAAAATTGAGGCTGGGATTCAAACAGCTTAGATACAGAGGCTTGCTTGAGGTCTGCCAGTTAGCTACTATGCCTTGTAAACTGCTGCCTACTGTGCGAGTTCCTCTTTAAATCAGTGGGGCCTGAGCCAGCTCACAGCAAAGTCTGTCTGAAAGACCTTTAATAACTCTGAGCGTTTTCCATCCCAGTGGAGAAGCAGAGCTCCCTATTGATTTCCCCCCTCCCTCTGCTCCCAGGGAGCTGTCACGCTCTGCCTGCCCCGCGTTTGATGTGGAGGAGGCCACATCCCCCAGCACGGGGGAGGCAGAGCAGCCACTCTGCCTCTCTGCTGGCAGAGGTCACTCACAGCCATCCAGAAGCATTTCCAGATGCCCCTGGATGGGCAAACTCAAACTATTATCACATTAAAACTCCGTTCCTTCTTTTCAGCTGCCTTGTCTCATTAGGATATACTTTTCTTCCCACCAGGTGCTGTCTTACACCTGCATGACTATGCCATCCTGAGCGTGGACTGGCTGGTATATAATGCCACCTACCTCCCCGACTGCTACATCTGCTTCACCCACACGGGCACTGTTCGGTTTCGCTTTTCTAAGCCTCACCCTCCTCACCCAGTGCCAGCCCAGTGCTCCCAGTGGGTTTTGCTGGAGACTTACCGGAAACAGCTGCGCAACGTGACTGAGTTCGATCACAGGTGAGCAAAGAGGAGTTGAAAGCCTGCTGATACTTCATGATAGCATTGTGTAGCCAACAGGATCATTCTGGTCCAACTTTCCCATTTGCTTGCTGTTCTGAAAGTGGGGAACTCTGTTTAGGGACGCATACATAGAACAAGCAAATAGTAATATAAGAACTTGAAGGCTGCAGCATTAAGTACACCAGAGTTAGAGACAATCAAAATTGAAGTTTTCTGTGCACCCTCACTATGGTCCTTTGCACAGACACATTGAAGACAGTAGTTTAAGTAGACTTATGTGACCTGCCCCACCTCTCCTCAGCACCCAGGCTGGATGTGTTCCCAGCATGGGACAGCACAGCACAGTGAAAGACCCTGCCTCATCCATTGAGGTACCCAGGAACAGGATGAGGAAGTCAGTCAGGTAGCTGAGAAACAGGCTCTCCCCAACAGCTGAGAAGTAACCTGTAAAGTCATCATCATCTCAATTCAGAGCAAGAAGTTAGGCAAACTACTTACATTAGTTACTGCACCAGCAAAAACCCCAGAGCAACCCAAAAGAAAACCTAACCCAGCTTCCCCCTCCAAAACACCATCCTTGTTTTCTGAGAGCTCTCTTTGAAACCCCACTAGTACCCACCACACTGAAGCATGGGGCAGTCATTCCCAACAGGACCCTCAGGCCCCAGGAACTGCAACTTGCCCTCCAACTCTCAGACAAGGGGTTAAGTCTCAGCCTGGGCACTGGCCAAGCCAATGAACCCTACACACAGGTCCTCTGCCTGGTAGTACTCCCCCCCCCTCAACACCACCCTGCTAACAAAGCTTCTCCCCTTACAGGTGACCCTCCTAGAACTGTCCAGGAGCTCACACCTCAGATGGCTTCCTAAGGCATCACTCACTATCTTGCAGAAACCCCCCATCCCCACAGGCAGCTCCCACCTTAACTGCTGGCAGCCTTTTATCAGGACGAGGTGTTAGTTGGCTGCTCAGTGGCTACCTACCATTTAATCACATACAGGTGGGCGGGAATAGCCTGGCTGCCCCTCCAGCCAGAGGTGGCAGGAAGAGGGAGCTCTATCTCTCCATCCAGGGGCCATTTATCCTGGAACAAAGCCCTGTGGAAAAGGCCAGGAGGAAGTGTGTAGTTCTACATGGTCTGTGGGGGGCTGGAGAGAGCGTGCTAAATAATGCATGAAGTCAGACACTGAATGATGAGGACAAAGGAAAATATTGAGTAGTGATCCATTCAGAGGGCACCGCCATCCATGGCGCTATGGGGGCTGGGGTCCTGTGGAAAAAAAATGGTATGGGGTGTCATGTAATTAAAGACAGTATCACCATGCCAACACACAAGGAGAAGGCTGGATTAAGGTGATGCAGCTGACTCTAAGTACAGCATTTCCTAAGTGAAACTTGATGGGTTTTACTGTAGTTCTCTTCAGTGAGGATGCGTGCTCTTAAATAGAGACCTATTGACACTTAGGGAGCTGGTACCCCCTCCGCATGGAAGCTGTCTGGGCTCTGTGCACTACAGATCTGGGAAGGTTGGGAAGCTGAGGAGCTGCCAGACCTTTGGCATGGTATTGCCTTCCCTCCCCAACAACAGCAAGGGTGGGGCCAGAGGGAGCTGACCCTCCGGGGCACCCACCGCCTCTCTCCTGCAGAGGTCTGAGCGCTTCCAGAAGGGAAGGAGAAGGTAGTACCAGACCCAGAGCTCTTGACCTTTTATGCCCTGAGGCTCAACTGCCCTGACACGTGATGGAAGAAATAAGATCCAATGTGAAGTCACTTATCTATGTCTTCCAAAGAGAAAACTCGTTCCCCATTAGCTCCCTTCCATTTCTACTGGGAGTGATGATGAGGGAAAGACCATGGCACTAGCTCTCTTCAACCCCACCAGGAGACTCATAAATAATGTGCAAGAGATTGGATTTTGAAACAGCTTCACTTCCTTAAAGCCCAAGCAATTGCACTGGGTATTTCAGAACTGTCTCAGGAGCAACCCTTCATTGTACTTGTTTTCAGTTGTAGTTCCATAGCGTGACATCCCTTTCTGGCTGAAGCTAGAGGCCACAGCATCCTATACACCTAGGATGGTGGAGCTGTGCATTGTTTGGTTCCCTATTGTCCTGTTTGGGAACACAACTTCTTTTCAGAGGCAGTGTTATCACATTCCTCTTCTTTTGTATTAGTTGTCTGACAATGTCTAGTAGCCACAAGTCAGAGCAGGACTTCAGAGTGGCACACACTGCACAGGGACACAAGACCCGCTACAAGGGTGTTGCCAGGGGTGGAGGGGAAACCAAGGCAGAGACCAATGCAGTGATTTTCCTCAGCAAATGCATGCCAGAGCCAAGTACAAACTTCACATCCTGAGTGCTCAGACTTACTCATTTGAGCACGTTGCCCTTCATTTCTTGCCCTTCTGTGCTCATCGCCACAAAATCGCAGAGGAATCATTGCACATCATGTGCAAACACATTAACAACAGCCACATTGAAGCGCTTCCCCTCCTATTTTCATCTAATCTCCGGGTACTAGTCTAGGGGTTAGGAATGGTTTTTGGCCGCCTGGAAATAGGTCTCTAGCCAGGAATAGGCCCCAATCTGTTCTGCTTCTCAGTTTCTGGAAACTCTCCCAGTCTCTTGAACATGTGCATCCCAGGCTACCTCTTTCCTGCACTCCTCTTTGCCCTTGAGCACTGACAAGCTGAGAGAAAGCAGATGTCAGAGGAAGGAACGGATGGATAGTTGGGTGGTTTCAAGGAAGTGTCAAGGGAATATGGCAGCAGGGAAGGGCTCTCATGCAAGACAGGGTGGATCAGCAAATGTGAAGGGAATAATGGAAATGTTTCTAAGAGGCTGCACCTCTTTCACCTTACTGCATTCCTGACCAGGAAAGGGTGAGAAAGAGAGGTATCTGCATTACATTTTTGCTGTTTGCATATTTTTAGGTACATATGCATACATATACGTGTGTGTGTGTGTGTGTGTTTTGGAAGGAAGTCTTTTTGTTTGTTTCCCTCAAAAGAAGGTTTAATCATTCCTATTCAAAACACACATCTTATGGGCCAAGACCCTGGAATGTTCTGTTACTGGTAAACTTCCAAAAGGATGCTATTATGAGAGTCAGGAGACTGCAGGCCTTGAGACAGAGAAAGGAAGGGAATTTCACTTTGAGACTTAAAAGAAAAAATAATCCTCACTTATTTACTTCACAATCAATTACAATGCAGGAGAATGCCATTCTTTTCCTCAAGATGCAACATAATGGCCACCGTCTCTAAAGCAAGAGCATGCCCCTAGATATTTAGGGAAGCAGCATTGACATTCCAGATATTTGTAAAATACCACTGCACACACCCCCCGCCAGCAGCCCGGGGATTAAGGCCATGCCCGGCAGCGCAGCTCCGCCAGCCCAGCGGAGCTCTCTATCACCAGGATGAAGTCATCTGTGAGGGAGCTGACACCATGGCCGAGGCTGCAGGGACAACTCCCCTGGGCAGTAACGGCTGCCCAGACTACCCTAACCCTCCCCCCCCTGTCCTCCAACTGCCTTATCTCACAGAAAAATAGGGCAGTGTGTGCATTACAAGTCAAAAAAAAAAAAAAAAAAAGAATAAAAATCCACTACAGAAACAAAGCACTCTGCTCCCTCCACAAGTCTCCCCTTGGGGAGAAGAGGGGACGAGAGAGAGAGAGAGAAAGCGAATGAACCACATGTGACAGATGTTAGTCACACTATTTAATGCACCACTGGAAGACATTCAGATACTACAGTGAGGAGAGGGGTATAATTACCCATTGAGAACAGAAAAAGAAGCAGGAAAAAGAATCCCTTTAAAAACAAGGCAACAAAACCGTTCGCTTCTGCATTATATAGCACAAGAAAGCAAAACAGTTAGGGGAAAAAAAATAAAACAGGACTAGAGAAAGCAAAACTACCATTGAAAATAAATAATACTTAGCTGGTCGTTTTAGCTGTGCCCCTTTGGGCATATGCATTGCAATAGCATTGTTCAGTGCATATATGACATGACGTGGAAGGCTATTTGTAGTCTGCACCTGATCATGGCGAGGGCCCATTCCAGAAAAGAAGCAAAAAAATGTAGTTATGAAGCTTTGCTTCATCTGCATGAGCTACTGATGGCAAAAGCCCCTGAACCCTTAGGAGATTATCCAGTTATCAAGGATGGATCACTATTACACAATAAATCTTCAACAGTTATAGGGATCAATAATCAGTCTCAAAGGGAAGGGGATTATAAAAAAAGCACAATTTGATTTATGTGCTTTTAGGAGCAAGGCAGTGTGGGGATTTATTGCTGTTTCTAGCCCAAGAGCACAGGCTAAGTAAACAACCACAAGTTTGTACAGCTAGATTTAAAGGCAGGGAGCGGAGCCCTCTACGCGCTCGTTGCTGGAGGAGCTGAGTTCTCACAGGACAAGGGGAGAGAGCGGTGGGAGCCTGACTAACCGCCCAGCCTTATCTGAAACGAAGCTGCGCGGGGTGGCGAGAACGGGCTTGCACGGCCTTTTGATCCACGGGGAGGTTTTTCCCTTGGTGCTTGCAGGGCTGGTGGGAACAGCCCCGCTCGGCTCTCGGCTTCGGGCAGGTGCTCTCCACCGGCGTGCAGGGCTGGTGGGGAGCTGCCCTTCGGCCAGGAGGGGAGCGGACAAGTCTGCTTTCCCCACCTTTTCCCACACGAAAACTCCCCTCCTCTCCCCTCCCCGCCAAGCTGCAGCACACCCTCTCTGCTCCGGCAGCTGGATCAGCGCCTTCAAGATGCCCCTGGCTCCTGCATTCCTGGTTTCTAGGGTGATGCTATGGTGTCTCCCGCTGCTGTGTGCTCCCCACTGACCACCCAAAATGCCGCCCACCCCGGCCATGGTCCAGCTCCATCCGTTTGGTTGCATGGATTACTGAACAGTAGCTGGGGTTGCCCAGTGTCCTGTGATAATGGCACCAAAGCCCCTATTGTAATGCGCGGGAGGGCAAAGCCTAAGTTGCTGTGGAAACCTTAACTCTGAATTTTCCTGACTGTTGAGCATTTAAAATCTCATCCTTAACGTGATACGAGCATCTCTTTATGTACAGCTTTGCTTTCTAAAATTGTTCCCAGTAAAGAAATTAAGAGAGTGAAGAAGAAATGAAACTGCAGCCACTGGAAGAGGGTCCACAGGGAGCGAAACAGCAGGCAGATGCTGGGGGGGACAGGCTCCATTTTATGGGCAGGATGGAGGGACTCAAAAGGGATGTCCCTGCCCGGGATGTCTTAGTTTATGAGTTTGGACCAGATCACATTTTACATCTGTAGGAGGAAGGGTTTTAATTCCATCCACAGAAGCCTCCTGGAAGAAGATAATAAGAGCACAAATCAAACCCACATCTCCCATAGAGCAGAGCGCTGCGCTAGAACGGGGGGCAAGACATCAAACACAAAACATTATTAAAGATCAGTAGCTGTTATCAAGGGGAAACAATATACTCAGGTGAAGGATGAAGCATGGTCGAAGGTACTTCCACCTGAACCTGCTTAGCCCCTGACACTAGATAAGCATCAGGGCTGGCCAGACTGGTAAGCCCACCCACTGGCAAGCAACCAGCTTGCTGCAATGGCTTTGCCCACCCAGGAATTAAGTTAATCACCCTCCTGTATTGCCATTTAGACTTTGCCCACCAGCCTGAGAAATTTACTACAAACTTTTCTTCAGGTAGCCACCCGTGGAGGGAAGAGAGCTTTTGCCAGAGGCAAGGCTTCGTGCAGGATGAAGGCGATCAGCTTGTCAGAGGACAGCACTGCGGCACAGATGTTCACCCTGTCCTAAATACAAGCTGTCACCCGCAACTAGATAATCTTGCAATTACTGGCTTCCTTGAACTCTGCTTGATAAAACTACCTGCTGCCTCTCTGGATTTCCCAAAGAGGCTTATACACCAGCTGAGTCTATGGAGGAAATAAGTACATTTCTGTCCCACTGAGGAAAAGCCAGGACCTGTGATTCTTATCAGTTGTTTCCCAGCAGACAAATCTGAAGAAGTTATCAGCAAGGCAGGCAGGATATCAGGTTTGTTCCACTGGGGGCGGAAGGGATTTCTGATTGACAATCATTTTCCCCCTGCTTGTACTAGGTGACATATTTTGACAACACAAAGGTACCAGGGCAAGTTACAGGCTTAGTAAGCAGATTGATGGTGGCCCACTACAGTACATAGCATCTCCTGGAGACTCTGTCTGCCTTTAGGTGGTGAACGGAGGGCCGGGTGTCATAACTTTTTACATGCATTGAAAATGTTTGGAGAATATATTGTCTGCAGGAGTAATGTACTAGCCTACTTTCAGATTAAGGATACCCCTGGGTAGCAGAGTGCAATTCTTATGATATAAAACCACCATACTTCCTTTTGTAACTCCATTACTCCTTAAGATTTCGCCCTCAAAAACGAAGGGGTAGGTACTTTGAACATCTAGTCTTAGCCAGCTTGTAGCTCAATATGTACCTGGCGGAGGGTACAGTTATTACCTGTACCAGCCATTACAGGAATAAATATAGGTGGCAGAAAAATGACCTGAATGCTTCCTAATTGCACCAGTCATTGTTACACCTATATGTATTGCAGAGCCAACAGGCTCCGAGTTAGGTATTTGGCCCCTATGGTGGCAGGAACGGCTTTGCACCTTTTCTTGGTCCTGCCCAAAGAACATGTGTCTCCTTCAGCACAGCCGCTGCCCTGCTGTGCCCCAGAGCATGCAAGTGGGAGAGTCTCACGTCCGCAAAGCTTGGTCTCTGACAATAAAACTCACACCTATCTCGGAGGAATCCTATTTCCCCCTCTACTAAACCTCCAGCTGCCAGCCAGCGGCTTTTTGAATGCTGAAAGCCAGTTGACTTGTTTGTTCTCCTCATTCTTCCTCTTCCCTTTACCCTTTTCTACAGCTTGCTGAGAAACTTGACCCTGGTGACGGATGCCCCTGAGCTGGCCTACCCTTCTCAGACTTTAATTTGGAAAAGATTTGAAGAAGTCTTTCTCATTGCCTCTGGACTTATCTGCTATGCACCTGTGTTCAAGGCCTATTTCTACCAGGGGCTGCTGGAACTCTATGAAGATAACATACAGTATGTCGAGATAAGAGCTCTCCTGCCTCCGGTACGTATTTTTTGGCTTCTCTAGTATTCTTTTAAATCCTTATTTCTCCATAACTTTTCTCAAGCCCTATCTTGAATTTCGTTTTTGGATGTTTGCATACCTGCCCTTCTAAGGATGCTGTAAAACCTTGATCATATTCAAAGGTCTTTGTTGAAGATTTGCATAGGCAAGGGCTTGAAAGTGAGAGATACTTTGTTCTTAATGGTTAAGGAAGATACCTACTGTGGCAACAGCACAAGACTGCATTGAACAGTCTGACTGGGGGCTGGGTCAAAATCTTGCTAGTTGGGAAGATGCATCTTGGCTGGTCTGCACCAGAATCACCTGTTCTGCAGCAGCTCTTCTGGAACAATTTCCGATCTTGAACAGAGACTTATTCTGGAGGAGTTACTTTAGATCCACAGCTTATTTCAGAATGACTTCTCTGAAGAGGCTAGTAAACTGACTGGCAAAGCACAGTCTTCCACAGTTTGCAGACAACCTAAAATTTTGGTTATGTGACAGATGAAGTGCTATTTTCATTGCCACTAACACTAAAATCTTTTGGTAATAGTTTAGATCTTTCTCTCTGCACGTCGCCTGGAGCTGGTGAGATTGTCCTACAATCCCACAGTGCCCCGACACCTTCCCAAGCACCAGCAGACCCCAACACCATTCTTCAGCTATAAGAGTTCCCACTTTCCCAGTGGCAATTTTGACACTGCAGGCACACCTTTTCCAGACCAGCTCCAAGCAGGGCAGTGTGGGTGTGCGAGCTTTGTCAGAGGCAGATTCCTTGCCAAAACAAATGAACTGGGGCTGCCACTCCTCACTACGCCGTCCACCTCCGTGTTCTTAGCAGTCCATTGCAATGGGAATGAATCTGCTGTGCAAGGTCCATCCAGGAGCACCTGAAGGACCAGGTGGTGGTAATGGGCTATGCATGGGAACGCAGGTACCAGCTTGCTGCTGGCACTGCAGTGTCAGGCGGATGGAGCAGCCATGCTGATGTCCTGCTGGTGGCCCAACTCCCAAACGTGCCTGCCAGCAACTTCTTTAAATCATTGCCCTTGCATGCAATGGCTGGTGGGCTCCGGCCAGCTGCAGATGAATGTCTGCACCCCAGCAACCACCGCTGCTGGTGGGCAGACCTCCACAGCCACCCCGTGAGCAGACAGGCAGGTGCCGTGACAAATTTGGAGGCTGATCTGGCTTTGTGCCCGCTTCCACCCCAACAGCTGGGGAGCAGGGCTGCCTAACCCTGCCCTGTTGTGGCTGTCCCCACAGTGAAATAGGGCTCAGTGTCAGGGCTGCAGGCTGGCACTCTATCGTGCCTGAGATGAAAAGGGTGTATTGAAAAGAAAAGAAAAATAAAGGAAGGGGAGAAGACCACAGAGCTTATATGCATCTTACTTTGCTGGGGGCTGGTCATGAGCCAGTTGCTCTAAACTCAGTCACCATCTGTCTTTGGGGGTACCTGGAAAGAGAAAACAACAGCAATGTCAAAATTCCTGTGCTGTGAGACAGCGCGAGTGCTGGCATCCCCCCAGGTCACATAGGTTTCTGGGCCAAGAGTATCTGCGATGATACGAGTGTGTGGGCCTGACTGGAAAATACCCTGCATTTACCAGCAGCCCTTAAACATGGTTGTAATGTC